ATGGGAAACCATCCCTGCAAAGCACTGAAGTCTCAGTTGGGTCTAAAAATTTTTCTCAGCAGGGTTTTGGAGAATTCTCCTTCACAACTATCACAGAACATCCAAAATAAAATGACTCACATACACGTTTCGGTGTAAAATCTTATTGTGTCCAAGTGTACTTTACATGGTTTTATTGGCTGTTGGTTTCACAAATAGTCAGCTAATTGTACAAAAAAAGAGAAAAAAAACAAACTGTATTTCTTGTGAAAATTGAAAACACCTTTGAGAAACAACATTTCCTGTGGGTCAGTCCGGCAGCGACCATGCCGGCCACAAGCCACGTGGCATCGAGGCCTGACGGCAGCGAGCGGTCGAACCCAGAGCCGCAGTGCCGATGGCCGGGTTGAGACGGCCGGCCAGACAGACAGGCAGCATGGTCGCTCTGCAGTTCACGAGGAGGGATGGGGGAGGGCAGAGCAGACGAAATGAGTCAGACGCACAGAAATGGTTTCACCCCAACCCCGGCAACCAGACACTTGCCCCGAGGCTGGGCTGCTGCCACCCCCCCCCCCCTCCCTTTCCCGCTCTTTTTATTGGAACCACTCCCCTTCTTTAACCGGAAATTTCTGTCTGGCCACGAGGTATTGCATTCTTAGAATGACTCTGATATGACTGCTCAGTGCAGATGATAGCCCCTAGAGGCGGGTAGGGTCTCCCCCGTGTTCCCTCTGCCCTCCACATTCCGAAATTTGACCTTGTCCTTTGCCAGGAGACACACGTAACAAACCCGAGATCTTCCAGAAGGACAGCGGACGGAGCCGCACAGGAGATCGAACCTGAGCACTTTATTTGGGAGTCCTGCGGCACTGACAGATAGGAAAACTGGATGGCCGACGGATACACAGATTGTTCTGGGAGGCTGGCCATTACATACACGGCAAATTAACGTCATCCAGCTCTCGACTGGTCACATGCGAGAAGAGTGCCTTTTCCCCAGAGATCATCTCTCTCCAAAACATCCACACCCTCCGCTGTTGACAGCTTTCAAGTGTCCACAAAATAACTTCCTACTCTGGAGAACATGAAGTATGATGTTCTTTGGCAAAACACACGGTTGCCTTGTAATATTACATAATGATATTACTATTAAGATTACTAATGGGCCCACATTATAAGCCACACACAACGGCTGGTCCTTCACGATCTCACCACTCCAGCATCATACCAGGTTCATCTCCCTCGCTCAGCTGGTCAGCCTCATGCCAGCAGGTCAGCCTCATGCCAGCAGGTCAGCCTCATGCCAGCAGGTCAGCCTCATGCCAGCAGGTCAGCCTCATGCGCGCCACCATCAACAACCACATGCTGCCTGTGTAAGAACCTCCACAATGAGCGCTGTTAGGGTTACAACAAGTAAGGCCTTTTCCCGCCTTTGTTTCTGTTTAATAAGAAGATGCTCTCGGGATGCTAAAGGCCAGAGAAGGGGAGGAGTTTAAGTGCTCAAGCTTTGTATCAGTCCGTCTTCCTTGACAAGCAGTCAGGGTTAATCTCGTCCTTTAAAAAATTAACCATTATGTCATTTCCTTTGTATTTTCATTCCTTTATGCAAGTTTTACAGAGCAGTGTGGAGATGAAAAACGTAACACATAGCAAAATGGGAAGCACAGAGGCACGTGTGTGTGTGTGTGTGTGTGTGCGTGTGTGTGTGCGTGTACAGGCATGCCCTATTTCAGTCTGGGGAAGGGTGGAACTGAGTAGAGGCTGAACTTATTTTTTAAGTTAGAGGAAACCAAGATCGTTAGCTCCTTAATCAGCAAAAAGAAATTTTTTTAGATGCCTGAGGCAGTTTTCTGACAGGACGAAACCAGCATCTTTGTAACAATGACACCCAGGGGGGTGAATCACTGGCTATGAACACTGATCTGAAGTTGCCACAGCTGCAGCCTTCGAGGATGGGGTGGCGGGGGGGGGGGGGGGGGGGGGGGGGGGGGCACATCAAGATGATGGGAGATGAGCGCCCGTGGCGCCGCTTCCGTCTGCCTCCCGCGTGGGGGGGTTGGGAGACGTCCAGGCAGTGTGTGGCCCAGCGGGTTAGGCTGCGATGCCTGCAAGCGAAAGGCCACTGGTTCAGATACCCAAGTTGGCAGAAGTATTTAACCATTTAGCCCCTATCAAATTCCTCCAAGGACTGTCTAACACCACTTTCTCAAAAATGCATGTCACTTTGGATAAAAGCGTCTGCTAATTAGATTAAATGTAATTACAGTACTTCTACATTCTAAACTGCTTTTTCCCCGATTGAAAATACTAGTGTGACCAGCACTCTTTTTGATGAATGGTTACTTGTACATGGTAATGTAGCTCTCATGTCTGCGGAATCCTTCCAGCTACTGTTAATGCCAGCGGCCATTTTTTTTTGTTCTTTTTACAGTGAACCCGACGCAAAGACTCTGCTTCCTTAAAAACGTGCGTCATTTTGGATGAAGGTGTTTGCTAAATAAATAAAGCATAATCTTCTGATAAAGCTCTGAGATCCACAGGCTGCTCTGTGGCACCAACCATCTGAGATAAGAACATAAGAAATTTACGAGAGCAGGCCATTCAGCCCATCAAGCTCGTTAGATCTTCATTAGGAGACAACAGGATTTAGTTATTAGTTAATAAATGGATCACAGGGGTTTGATAATGACATGTCCAAGCTGTAAATCCAGATGAAGCCCAGGTTTGCCTGCTCATCTTGCCAGAGCGCAGCTTCACCCCCTAATGTCAAAAACACACCTTGCCAGACCATAATTTCGCTTCCTTATGTGCAGATCACACTTTGCCAAAGTGCAGCTCCGCCTCCTTCAATGTGAACCTTCTTTTCTTAATGTGTCAAAACTTAGTAAAAGACTCAAAGTGAACAGCTTAATAAAAGGCTCAGAGTGAACAGCTTAATAAAAGGCTCAGAGTAGTAACACAACATACTGCAACTTAAAGGTTACGATCATAAATACATCTAATAACTAATAAACTAATGTACTGGTGATGAATATGTAATTGGTTATATTCCTTTTATGTAACATATATATGACGAAAATGATGGCACTATATATATACGTATATGAAGAAAATACAAACATGCACAGTATCCCCTGCATCTGACATTGTAAATGTTAGATACATAAATAATGAAGATTTTACATTAAGAAATAATGAAGATTCTGGAGAAAGCCTGCGTGATGCGCATTGGTGTGGGTCATGACACAAGTCTTCCCCCCCCTATGTTATCATGAACCCTACGACCCGTGTGGGCCCGTTCTAGAACTTTCTGCCTGTTGATGAGCAAACGACACTTCCCACACTCCCGCCTTATGCCGTGTGTTGTGGATATATATTTTTCTGCCTTTGTCTCTTTTGACAGGACGTTTGCCAGGCAACCCGAACCGGTGAAACTTAAGACTCCGCTTGAGTCAGCAACACCCTGCTCTCGCAAGACTCCCTCATTGTGGCTGTCCGTCACCGTATGATTACAGAATGAAAAGGGAGATTGTCGCGCTGCATGAATACGAGGCTTATGACCAAACGGACATGCACAGAGTCGCTATTCTTTCTGGGATCTGCTGTGGACATCGTGTACAGTGTGTGGTGATTAAGGTCCCCCGGCCCTTTGAGATCACAGGCAAATTCTGCCACATGCTCTGCGTTTGATGGACTTGCAGGTAGCTGTCGCAGGAAGCGTTTTATTCAAATTCAATAAGTTGTCAATAGCAACTGTCCGTCGCAGTGGTTTGGATGGACATGGGCTCCACTCACTGCGAGCGGGCTAATCAGATCGGTCACTGAAACGGGAAGTGAGGGGCATCAGCTCGGAGAGAATTTTAACCAGAGATAGGAAATGAACGCAACTAGACGGAGGGTGCGGTGGGGGACAGTTAAATTTCCTATGGGAATATAATTTAGGTTATTTTGTGTTCTGTTGCCCAAGCAGACTGAACACTGGAAGATAACACAGGCAGCCAGAACACAGCTTAATTAAATACAGGTAGCCATAGCACAGGTTAGCCAATACACAGGTTAGCTAAACACAGATACAGCTGAAACAAGTTAGCTAAATATAGCTAATGCACAGGTTAGCTAAATACAGACACAGCCAAAGCACAGGTTAGCTAAATGCAGAGACAGCCAAAGCACAGGTTAGCTAAATGCAGAGACAGCCAAAGCACAGGTTAGCTAAACGAGACAGAGAGCTAATGCGCAGGCAGGATGGGCCTCCTACAATCTGTTTGGTGGTCAGATCTGAGTGTTAAAAATCAAAACGGCACACATGTCAGTTCCAGCCGTCTGCTTTGTACGTTTGTTCTGCCGTTTTGAGACACAGGGAGACACAACATGTTTGCGGCCCTTGATCCCAAGATGTTTGGAGGGCCGGTCAGCTCGTCTCAGACAGCCCGGGCGGATCAAAGCGTGCTGCTAACGGCAAACAAGCAGCGGGGGTGCTTGGCTCCATTCTGGTGTCACGCTCCGTTACCGCGGAGACGGGCCACGGCGGAAAGGCCGAGCTCATCTGTGACACAGCTCCAGCTAGACTCCAGGAGAAACAGCACGTGAGGCATGCAGACGCACGCGAACATGCACACGAGGAGACACACACACACACACACACACACACACACACACACACACACACACGCTTTATATCTTTGTGGGGACTCTCCATTCATTTCAATGGGGGCAACTCTAATCCCAACATGACGACCTTAACCACTACCCAGCCCAAACTTTAACCATAAGTAACCAAATAAAATATGAAACTTTTGGCATTTTTATTTTTTGATTGCAGTGACAGGTTTTTATACAATTGAGTTTCACGCACACACACACACACACACACACACACACACACACACACACACACACACACGCAAAAATGGCTGAATAACCAGCTATCCGACCACGGGGCTTTAACGAGCTTATGCTGAAAACAACCCAGCGAATAACAGGAATCTGTAGCAGTTTCTTTTTCACAGATTAACCGCTAAAGTCAGAGAATACAACATGTGGCCACGATGACTGAGAGCAGTGAGCAGACGTTGTTGTGGTTTCGTTCCCCCCCCCCAACATAAAAACCAATTTCCATCAGGCTCTCTGGACATCAGAGAGCAGCCACACAGGGAGGGGGTCCCTCTGGTGGGGGTGACATTCCCATGAAGCACGCAATGGGCCCAGTGCACGCACACACCCTCGCTCGCCAGACCCACACTCTCCCGGTTCAGAGATGTGAGAGGGACTGCCCCCCCCCCACCGCTGCACGATGAAACACCGCAGGACAAGCGAGGTGCCGAAGCGGGATTTACAATTCATGGACTAATAGGATTCTGTGCTGTTTAGCAGGATTAGACATGTTAGAGAAAGAAGCTATTTATTGCTGCCAGTAAAGGGGGGGGGGGGTTGGAGAAACTACACAGGACCGTTGTTTCTCTAAGCAATTTATCGGATTAGACCTCAGCCGAGGTCCCCATCCATAACGCATCCCCATCACCCCACCGCACCGTGATCAACTGGAGACAGTGCCGGATAATCCCGGGGCATGTGCCCGGCACGGAGGGGCTGGGAACGCCGGCACGGGAATAATTAACGCCGCCTTCCCGCGTGGGGGCCGGCGTCGGCACCGCCTGAGCTCTGCCCGGCCCGGCGCTTTCGGGCCTCTGCATCGAGGCCTTCCTTTCACAGGCAGGGATTATGGAGCCATTCTTCCCTGAAAGGCGGGATTCCTCCTCTCGGTTTGACAGATGTAAACGGACCGTAGGGTCTCGCTGGCATCGGGGACTCCTTTATCCATTTTTGGCCCACCCTACCCCCTCGGTTGCCTTCACCGAGCAAAGACATGGTTCCTGCTCACAGTTTGTGGCGGTTTCTATGGCGATGCCCCCCCCCCCGCAGTGGCAGAGGGTGTGGCACAAGACATGCACACAGCGCCACTGTCACAGAAGTGGCTGACTCCTAGTCATCATCTCCCATGTCGCCCGTGTTAGACAGAGGGCACTGCCAGACCGGGGCAGGCCAGGCAGCTCCTCGAATCTTCATGACTTCATGACATTAAGACCTGTGATGCTTCTGCAGGCAAAAGCAAGTCCTCTTGGGAGGGATGGGAGGATAGGAGGCGGAGGAGTGGAATGAGGGGAGGTGGCCAAGAAGGAGGGATCATTAATCACGTGGGTCAGATCATGTGGGGATCTCGGCGTACCTCCACTCCACCAGAACCCCTGCAGGAAGATAAAAATCAAGGCCTAGAGATTTTTCAAAAAGCTTAAGCCTTTGATCGTCGACTCAGCGCTTCAACTCAAACAAAAAGCCGGCAATCAGACCCCTTTCGCTGGGGTGCGTCACCTGCAGCCCCAATCGGACCAGACGTCTGGTCTGGGTCGGTGTGCCAGTGAAACCACAACCAGAAGCAGGTGAAAGAGGCCGGAGTGATTGCGACAGAGCGGAACGCCGGAGAGCGCCGACCAGAAAATGAGATGCGGAGACACTAATATCGCCCAGCAATGAAACCCTATAGATGCAGCTCGGCGTTACGAAAACAACATGCGAGGCTGCAGCAACACGGCGAGTGGAAACAGGGCAGCATTTCGCAGTCTCAGGGGCGTTGGTCCTGAAAGATCCTCACCACGACACCTGATCTGCTGCTTCGTTCGTGGCGGGCAGGGGGACGGGCATAAGCCCCTCGTCTGTTCCTCGTTCGATTGCCGTGTCAGCTGGTAGACGGGCGGGCGTCTCCCCCAGTAAAAGCCCCACAGTGGGCTGCTGGCCGGCGATGGCACACTCAGACCCCAGACACATCGTCTCTCTCTGCAAGCACAAACAGGAACGGCAAGACAAACACACCATGAGATGGATAAAGGACGACGGGCCAGCTGATTGGCTAAGTGCAGTCTTCTAATAAAAAGCTTCTGGCATAAAGTGAAGCAGTAAGTTATTTAGATATTTAGGTGACATTTCTGCTGAAAAAAAGGAAGAATTGAGATAAAAGGATGAATGGATGGATGGACAGATGGATTTCATCACACTAGTTGGGAAGGTTTAGGACGCAGGTGCTGAAAAATGCAGCGTACACCTGATATACATGATTAGGAGGCCCGTGGGCTGCATATGTAGGCCCATATCAGACTCACAGATGGAGGGCTGTGGGCAACGGTGAATGAGAGAGCCTGGGAGGGTGGGGGGGAGCGGAGGTTTGTATGTCTAGTAGTTTTTGTAGCCCTGTCAAGGTGTGCAGTGGGGTGCACTGGATTACAGGGTGGGGGGGGGAGGGGGAGATGCCAGTAACAGGAACCCCTGCAGTGCGTCAAACGTCTTGGCAAGAGGCAGTAAGACGATCTGAAAGGCGCGGGGTTGACGGAGACTGTTGCACGGCAGCTCATGGGACGGGAAAGGCTGTATGGGGGTGTGGGGGGGGTACCTTCAGGCTCCTTCCCGGACCGGGGAGCATGTTAGCATGTCAGGGGCTGGGGGGGGGTCGCACTGGGAAGGGGGCGGGGCTTGGGGGGACTGTCAGGGGCTGGGGGGGGGTCGCACTGGGAAGGGGGCGGGGCTTGGGGGGACTGTCAGGGGCTGGGGGGGGGGGGGCTCATGACACAGCCAGGTGCTGCTATGCTCTGCCTCACCTGACCTCACCTCACACCGCGACCAGACACAACAAAGAGGCCCATCAGCAGAAACACACTCGCCTACATCCCTAAAGATGGACGGAGAAGAAATTTCTTTCAGTATAATGGCCGCATGTTGGGTTTTCCGGGGGAAACAGCCCCCGCTGCAGGAGTGTCAGAACTGCCCTGGAATCTTCTTTTTCAGGAGGAAAACGACAGCATGGACTGCAAGATGAAACAGGAGGAAGGGACCATTACCGAATAAGTCTATCTATTAAGCCCCCGAGGGGTGCGGGGCCATAAACTGTGGATATCAGCATCAAAGAGCAAGGAACAGAAGTCTAAAGTGGTGGGGGGGCCCTCAGAGCCGAGGCGATTAAACCCCCCCGGCTCCAGTCCCCAGACACGTGTACAGACTTAATCAAGCTGACGCCAGTGAGTCCCCACACTCGCATTAAAGTCCGTCTCCACCACTGACAGCTCCGGGGGGGCACTGCTGTCGCCATGGTGCCAAGGGGGGGGCCTGGAGGCATGTCGGGATGGAGCAAATAAAGTGTTATTAGTGGGGCAGCAGCCCCCACCCGCGGCCCCCTTATCAGCTGTGTCTGTGACAGCCCTTCCCTACAGACCCCCACAGCCCCATGGATCTCTCTCCTCTTCACTTTCCCTTTCTTTTTTGATGAAGATCACCTCATGCAAAGGTGAACCTCCCACAAAACCCGGAGACGTCACTGCCGTTGGCACGAGAGCCGGCCTTGCAGAGGCACGGCGGCGCCCCCAGGCCCGTCACCGGTCAATGTCTTGACGGACACGTGCGTCTGGGTCCCACCCACCCGCCTTCATTGGCCGAAGCCAAATGTCTGTCAAATCGTTAACAGAGCCAAACCCCATGTCACACCGAGTATCTGGCAGCTGTTGGCTCACGGAAAAGACGCTCCATCCCAGCCAGCCTCGACATGACTAAAGCTGGTGGTTTTCCCTTTTCCTGGGGGAGAAATAGCATCTCCAAAGCAGAAACCCACATCATAAAGCTAAATTCAGAACACGAAGTCGGCGCTGATGAGCTGCGTGTCTCACTCGCGCGTGAGACCTGATAACAGCCTCAACGTATCATATTCAAATTCCCCTGAACCACTCACAATAGCCGTTTAAAAAATAAAATAAAATGCAGACGGCGGAGCCCTGATGCTGCAGCACGCCTGACAGACAGCACGCCTGACAGACAGCACGCCTGACAGACAGCTGCATGACAGACAGCACGCATGACAGACAGCCGCATGACAGACAGCACGCATGACAGACAGCACGCATGACAGACAGCCGCATGACAGACAGCACGCATGACAGACAGCCGCATGACAGACAGCACGCCTGACAGACAGCCGCATGACAGACAGCACGCCTGACAGACAGCCCGCCTGACAGACAGCACGCCTGACAGACAGCCGCATGACAGACAGCCGCATGACAGACAGCACGCCTGACAGACAGCACGCCTGACAGACAGCCGCCTGACAGACAGCACGCCTGACAGACAGCCGCCTGACAGACAGCACGCCTGACAGACAGCCGCATGACAGACAGCCGCCTGACAGACAGCACGCCTGACAGACAGCACGCCTGACAGACAGCACGCCTGACAGACAGCACGCCTGACAGACAGCCGCCTGGCTCTTACTTTAAGCCAAATGCTCAACATGCCAGAAACATCTGGGCTAAAAGCCGACACCTGGCTGTGAACGCCCAGAGACACCCGTTTGGACCGCTGGTGCCGGCGTCCTGACAACAGCCCGCACGCGGCTCTACGTGTATTAATGTGCGATTATTCCGATTGTTACATTTGCACAGGCTAATGAAATATTTCTTTACGGTAAGATGCCTGTCTATATATATATAAATACCTGCAGGACTGGACCTGTTATGTAGAAGATTTGCATGAGAGAGATGATGTTGACAAAATCAAAAACAAGGACATTTTCACCACATACGATTCCCGAACCTGACTCCTGAACTGGTATCAACATCAGGCAGAACCACGCTCACGGCCCAGAAGCCTCAGACTGCATTCCCTAATAACAAACAGATAGAAACGAGCTGATCAGAATTCAGAGCAGAGTTCCGGGCCTGATGGAGCGTGAGCCTACATCCACCTGGCGTCCTGTTAGACATGGGGGCTGCAGTCAGCTCACATGCTGTCCCGCTGGCACGCCGCCCACGCTGCATCTCTGCCTCCTCTGAGTAATTAGGGGATTCTTTAATTAAGGCAGGAATTCTGTGTGTCAGGCAGTGCGCCAGGGAGCCGTCGGGCGAGATTAAAGCTCAGATTATCACTTGCTAAAAACGTGCTGCACACTTCACGTTCCATCCTATCAGAACCTGCGCGGAGGAGAGAAACACGTCGCTCTGGGGGTTCTGGGAAATCAAAGCGCCCCTCCCCCCCCCACCCCAAACCAGGATCAGACAACACAAGTGGTCTAAGGCTCAATGTTGCGAATGAGACTCGCCTGTGAGTTGGCACGGCAACCGCGGAGCTCGCCGGCCGCCCCCGGAGTCCAGGCCACACACCTTACGGAGGGCCGCGGCGATTTCAATACCCAGGCTTGGGGGGGGCAGTGGGGGGAGGTAGCTAATTAAGCCCGCAGATCACAATGAACAAGGGGCCCCCCCAGGCCAAGCCATCACTCACGGGCCTGTGTAATGAACACCCGCGTACAGGTGTGCCGGTCCGGCTTCTGTCGCATGCAGACTTTCATTAGCCGTGGGTCCCTGGAACTCTTCCTGACAGAGCCGCCCTGCTTAAAAGCGACACGCTCCTGCCAGGCGTCTGATTCCAATCGGGAGAATATTCTGTCACTACATTCCATCACATTATCTGTCGCCTCTGCCTGAGCTCACATCGCACCTGACACTGAAGGACCAGGTCATGTTTCAGCCAGCATTTAAATAGCCACTGAGATGGCAGGACATGCAGGGGAGCAGGTTGGCGTGTGACCTGGCATCCTCCACGCCTTGGCTATTCTTCCGTTATATTCGGCCTCATTTCCGTGAACCGAGGAGCATTTGGCACAAGAGGCTGGTGGCGAGTGTGATGTCACCGGCCGGGACGGACCAGAACATCTCCAGCCACACGTTGTAGCTGTAAACTCACGGTACAAACACAGCACATCTGACCTCTGCTAAAAGGTTTTTTTTATTATTTTATTTTTGAATTGGCGCCATGTTCAGTTCCAACCGTGAGATCAGAGGTAGTCAAAGAAAATGTTTGCTATTCATTGCCATTCATATTTATAAGGGTATGACATGTATCTGGGCAGTAAGTGTATATTAAACATTTGAACATATGCAAATAAAAACTAACAAGAATTTCTTCTGTTCTCCAAAAAGTTACTGACAACTTGTTGGACAGCTAGAAAAACGCTCTTTCAGCTCCCAAACCTCTCCTCAGGGGCACCTCAGCCATTCCATGCAGTTGTTCAAATTCCATTAATTAATTTAATGAGTTAACTTCAGGTATCAATTAGCTAAACATTGCATGCTAGTGGTCCGAGTAAAAAAATACATGGTTGTATTTGGTGGTTACTGCAAATCCTGGAGGGACTGTAAGAGAAGCTTTGAAATGGTTAAGCTGACACACTTCGTTAGACATCATATTATAGGTTTAAAAGAACACGAAGGTCATTTAAACATTTTATTTGTCTAAGACTCTTGCACAGTATTTTATGTTTAGCTAGATGATTTATTTGTTCAGCAGGAAACTGGAGATAAAACCAACCACGAAGGGACTCGAACCCTCACTCTTCTGATCCGAAGTCAGACCATTAGGCCACGTGGTCCACTTCACCGGCCAAGGGTCCACAGTCTATGGCAAATGTTAAACGGCTGCTGAATGACAATCCACTTTCAGCCAGAACAAACTCAGCTACAAGGTGTTGAGGATCATGTGACCTGGCTCCCTAACACAGTCGGCAGGACACCTGTGTGCTCTGCTCCAAGTTCCCAAACCACATCTGTGATCCATGTGTACAGAACCTGACGCTCCCAGAAACGGGAGAATCTAGAGACTCCATCAATGGTGTCAGTGGACTCAAACCTGCCATATTGCTGAAAGGCTATCAAAACAAACTGGAAAGGAAGTTGTGTTTCAGAAGCAATATCCATAGTTTTTGTTTAGTTGTAGTTTTTTAGATTTTATTTTTGTATCTACTTTGTATTTATTTCATTTTATGAAAATATTTTGTTACAGTTTTAGTTAACAATAATGTGGCTGGTGTCCACATATAAAGGACCTGAAAATGTAAACACAGAAACTAAATAAAAAAAATCTAAACTATAGTAACAGTAGTGGATGACGACACGGTTCCAGCGTACGAAACACTCCTCTGGCCTCGGGGCGCTCAGGCATGCGGCACGGCTATCAAGATGGAAACAGGACCATCCCTTACTCCATCTGAAGATTTTTGGCTGCTTTGCTCCGGCCTGACAGCCGACAGGGTATTTTTAAGAATAGCGATGAGTATAGCAGGAGTCCGGGGGGGCTTGGGACCGAAAACAGTGAAACGGAACAAGGCGAGTAAGAGTAGCTGTTTCAGTTCATAAACACGCCACCTCCATGCTGGTCCTCTCAGACCTGCGACTGGTTTCTGCAGCTGAAAGAGCCTGTACTTCCTCTAGCTAATGATGACTGATGGCTTCATACACACTGCAGCGCGTGGCCGTATTCTGGTTTCAGCAGCTAACAAGGGGCATGTTTGATTCATATCCAGGCTAGTTATAAGACAGCTGGTTGGGTTGATGTTTGCAATGTTATTTTTTTGCCATTTCTCTACTTTGGTCTCTGCCATCAGGTCTTCAAGCATGACCACGCACTCCAGGCTTAGACCTATAATGGTCTCAGTTGGTCCAGTACTTATAAACAAAAGCTTGTGAATGTGAAGCTACGTTGATGACAGTGTATATATTTAATCAGTCATTTGCATGATTTATGCTCAGGACAGAGCTCTGAAGCCGGACTTTTCTGTCCATCTCTCCTCCATAGCCATCAATCCAACGGAGGGTCGAGGTTGTCATGGAGGCCATTGCACAGGCAGCACAGACCTTGGAGAAGATCTCAGTCCATCAGAGCTCAGCACAGCCCACACACACACATAGGGTGACTCGCAGACACTGACTCAAACCAGAGGTCTCCAACGATCAGTTTTATATGGCCCATTACGTTGTTTTTAAGTCACTGTAAAATCTAGCCCGCAGGATGAATCTTCTTATCCACTTTGTAATTTTTCATTTCAGTGATCTGAATTTGAACTTTGAATAGTGATCAATTAAAAACTGCTATATACACCTGATAAGAGATGTTAAACCCAAATATCTGTCATCAAGGAAACACTATACCACATTGAGGTCTGCCAGCATGACATTTTTGAACGTAATACGAGCACAAGAGAACATTTTTACATTGCAAATACTAAAGTATCGAGTGAAGTGTGAGTTTCTGATACCAATTTCAATGTGGCTGATTTTCTGGGAAATTAAAACATGTGGAGCCCCAGGCGCTGATGGGGAAGGCCAGCTGGATGGCTCTGAGTTTCAATGGCTTGTCGACAGAGTGAGAACAGATGAGGAGATGAGTTAATTGCACCGCAGTAAGAGAGTGCAGTTTGTATAATGCTTACCGTGGGTGACGGGACAGGGGGACAGCAGAACTGGAACGTCCCCTGTCAGTGACAGAATCAGGCAGCCGTTTAAGCTGGCGTCCACTCTGCAGGACAACACAACAGCACAAGGTTTCAGGAAATCACCTTACCCCAGTTGGAGAAAACATTTCCAAATGGCTTCGCATTTTTGTTCTGCTTTCATTTAATTCTGGGATAACTGCAAATGATTAAAATCATTTTGTTGAATTTCCCCAAAGGATACCTGGTATTACAATGCTTTAAGTTCATCGATTTTGGTTTTATTGGTTAATTAATGGGCCTAAATTACTGTGGTTGGCAGGGGGTCTGTGGAGCAGGCAGTACAGTTCAAGAGGATGGGGGCACATCCCCCTCAGACAGAATAACACGGAACGCTGTTTATTCCTCCAACGTCTGCAAGAACCAACTCATTCTTCACCTCCATCATGCTCCCAGAACAACATGGGCCACTCAGAAAATGGCTCTATTTGGGTTCGCGAAAGAACGGTTTCCTTTAGGTATCGGCTAAGTACAGGGGGGGAACCGCAGATACATTTCGGGTCTTGGGCATGTTAATGATGGCCAATTAGAGCTGAAAGAAACGGTGCCGTTTGCAAACGAGAGCCTGAGATTTTCCTGTTAGAGTGCGTCCCACCGCATGTGGATGGGCTGCAGTGCGAGTGCGTCCCACCGCGTGTGGACGGGCTGCAGTGCGAGTGCGTCCCACCGCGTGTGGACGGGCTGCAGTGCGAGTGCGTCCC